AATTAGAAAAATAAAAATACGGCAATGCCGTGCGAAAACTCATTTCCGACATTGATGCATGGAAAACCAGAGAATAAGCCGACACCCGAAAAAAAACAGAACGAAAACTCATTTCTCAATCATGGATGCTCTGAGGTAATAATTTTGCATCCTTATTGGCAAATCCATCTCCTCCACGCCTTCCCCTTTTGCGGCTCCTATTGTTTATTTGGAACCAACGAACAAGAAGACGTTTGACTTAGCACTTATAATCGGAAAAGGTTTGGATGCTACAGTAGATACTACTGTAGTTAAATCAGGAAACGAAATGATACTGAAAGCCTGAAACTACCAATGTTCAGTTTAAGTGTACGTTTTCAGATCCTTGGCTGAAGACTCTGTTTTGAACCCAACCTTGCAGGAAGGAAGGAGGGGAGGGCTGCATCAGTTTTGTGCTTCCACGCCTTCTCCTAAAAGTAAAATATGCTCCTAGCTGTGCTAAAATTGAGGCGCCTGTTTAATTTGCAAGCACTGTTTGACCCCGCTGTGACAGTAATGCATATGTACATGCCGTGGAACAACTGCAAAACTGAAGAAAAGCTGGTCCCGTTTACAATTGAGTCGGAGTAAACGTCAGCTTGGCCATAATTTGAACTTCAGTTACATATTTTCTGCCATTGCATATTTTGCCTGACAGGTAAACTAAACTGTCAACTTACTCTACCTTTTTTGTTTCTTCATGACTGCTTTTCTTCATCAGGCTTAGCAGGTGTTGCAAGAGAACAAAGGCAAGGCAGGCCAAAAAGCCTCTGGCGCCTCTCATACCGACATACATGTTTATTTGCAGGTTCTGCTGCTGCTCTTGCCTGAGCCACAGCGGCAGGCAACTATATAGCTTTTGTTGCCATTCCCCGGGCAATTCACATTCACCATTATCAGGATCACAGCAACCGACCGCCGGCCTTCCCAGCTAGAGTAAGTTGAAATATCAAATATAGCATCCATATATATACCAACATCAAACAGTTCAGCTAGTATATTGTCATAAACTATAAACAATCTGAAGCTGCTGCCCAAGAGCAAGAGACTTTCCAAATAGTAGCTTATAAGATTCAGAAAATGGCTCAAATGATCCAGATACAGTGAAGAGAAGCTTCAAAAAAGGGAAACAAGTCTGTGAACCGAAGAAGAAAGTAGATTAGGGGTTCGACACTCATCAGGAAAACCCACTATGTGCACTCGTACTCGAATACAAACTATGGGACAAAAAACCTGATGCACCAACCAAACTACCCTATTACAAACGCACAATGTAACAAAAGGTTCTCTCTGCTACAAAAACACATAGCAATACATAAATACGGTGGCTGATCACAGAGTTGGACAAACAAACGTGTAGCTCACATCACTTGCTCTTCTAGCTGCTGCGGAGGAAGAGATGGAGCAGATCAGTAAATCACAGGATGCAGTACAAAGGAATGAAGTAACCAGCGGGCCAAGATGTATACCTCTTACAACCCGTCACCTTCTCTCCTACGCCTTTCCTCCTCCTCCTTCTTTTCCCTCTCCTCATTAGTTATAATCAAATCTTCACATACTCTACGGAGACGGAGCTGAAGATTGTGATGGTTGGGATGCAAAGCGATTGCTTTTTCAACGAAACCTTCCACAATCTCCACCCCGTCCAGAGTTGCATGATAACAATCAATTTCGACCCGGAGGTCAGCGAGGCTTGAAAGATGCTCGAAACCCATGTCAGCAACGTCACTATTCCAGAACGCGACAGGATAGGCTCTCCAGCAAAGATAGAGCCATCGGAGTGCTGGCATAGCATCTGCTGCAAACTTTATACCCGTTGTTTTGGGTGCCCTAATTGTGTAGTGGAACAGCTCTAGCAGCTTGAATCCGTTACTACCTACAGTCAAGACGCCAGCCGACTGATCCCAGACTTCTAGCTGGAGATTGAGCAGAGAAGGCATACCCATAAGAATATGGAGACCTTCCTCATCAAATAGTCTGACTGCTATGTCTAATTGGAGGATGTTGGTTAGGTAGGTCATTCCCTTGGGAACACTTTTCATGCGCCCCTCTAGTTTAAGATTTTGAAGGTGCGGAAAGGTGCAGCATGGATCCCTGAACATATATTCTCCTATTTCTCCAAAAGTATAAATATATTGAAGACTTCCATTGCCCAACCCCTTCAGAGATGACCTCAGCTTTTCTTGATGGAATTCAGTCCATAATCCAGTCATCGTAATCTTTCTCAATTTTGTTAGATGTCCAAGCTCTTCCAAAATTTTCTCAGGGTTGTCAACTTTACAAATATCTGACACTTCCTCCAGGGCTCGCATGCTCCCAAACATATCTGCAGACAACACACAGTCATTGCAAACAAATAAGTGCACCAAATTCTGTAGTCGGGCTGTAGTTGATGGCAGTTCTATAATTCGAGAGTCCCGCAAATCGAGAGTCTCTAAGTTCTGTAGCTTTCCGATATCTTCAGGAAGCTTTGTGATTCCTCCAGACTTAATTCTCAAATACCTCAGTTGATAGAAACTTCCAATATTTCTTATATGCTTGTTTTCCCACAACCAATAGTCCCCACATATATCAAGCACCCGTAAAGACTGAAAGTCCTCAAGTGGGGGCATATGCTTTGTTTCTTCAAACACATTTAGTGAGCGAACATGTCGCTTGCTTCGTGTGATGGCTTGGAGTGCCCCTTGTTGTTCATTCCTACTAGATTGGAGGGAGATTCGATGGATCTTGCTTGGCAAAGAACTGCAAACACCATTTAAAACAGTGGCAAAGTTCTCTTCATCTGACAGAGATATTATAAGGTCAAGCATCATATCATGAACCTGACAATATTGCTGAAAACCATAACCGTGAAGATCATCATATACTAGCTGGATCATGCTTCTATTGACAAGTTCGTTAAAATAGCTCTCTGCTTCTTGATATAAATTTCCCCGTATTGTAGCAATGAATCCTTCAGATATCCATTTTAATTTCAGTTCTTCACACCGGATATACCAGTCCTCTGGATATATACATAAGTACAACAAACAAGTCTTCAAGTGGTGTGGAAGATCCCAATAACTAAGTAACAATATATGTGTCATACCTTTTCCTTCATCATCACTCTCATATGAAAGACCAGTACCAATGGAATCTTGGAGTCTCTCCCATTCATTTGGGTTTTGAGGTTTATTAGCTAGCAAACTCGCAATGGTAATTATAGCCAATGGCAGACCACCACATTTTTTTAGGATCCTAGATGAAACCTCTTCTAGTTGAGGATGGCAGGAGTTGTCATAGTTGAAAATTCTCTTAAAGAACAATCTTCGAGAATCAACGTCATTCAGAGGTTGCATTTGGTAGAGCTGACCACGAGAGTTAGAATAACATGACTTGGCTACATTGGCAATGCGTGTAGTAGCAATTATTCTGCTACCATCATAATTGTTAGGAAAAACTGCTGCGATAATTTTCCAGTCTTGTTCTTTCCATATATCATCAATAACAAGTAAGTACCTATATGCAATGTTACACTATTAAATAAACTTATTAAAGCAAATATAATGATCTGCACTAAATTTACATCTATTTTTGCAATGGATGAAGAGACTATACCTCTTTTCTGTCAAGATCTGCTGGATTCGACGAATTAGTTGGTCCTTCTCCCACCTCTCCGACTGACATTTACTATATGCATCTGCATCTATTTGAGACAGGACATCTTTTAAGAGCTTCTTGAGATTAAGGGTGCGTGACACCGTCACATGAGCTTGGCACTGGAACTCTCCTCCAATCTCGCGATAGGCCTCCATGGCAAGTGTGGTCTTTCCAAGCCCTCCACCTCCAACAATGGCCACCACCTTCAGCTCCACACTCTCCTCCATCAACAAAGAGACAACATGATCCCTGCGGCCGTCCATGGCCACCAAGCCCTTGGCCACCCCATGGAACGCGGCTAGCCGGGGATCTATTGCCTCGGTCGTCGTTGGGACGTAGTTGTCGAGATTCAGTCGCTGCCGGCGTTCGCTCTCCTCCGTGACGCGGGCCTTGAGCTCCTTAATCTGTGTCCCGATACCATGTCGTGTGAACAACGTCTTGAGGTGGCGCGCAGTCCTCTTGGCGAAGCTGGGCTTGGCTTCGTCGTTGTTGAGGCGGAGCATGAAACGGTCAATGCACTCTTCCATGTCGTAGCTGAGGTCGCGCATGCTGCCTTTCCAGTCCATGGCAACCTTGTCGAGCCCCTCCATGTCGGCCAACACATTTACCAGGATCTGCATCCTCCGGAGCTCACGCTCAAGGAACGCGATGTCCTTGCGCACCCTGTTGAGCATGGTGTACTCATCGCCGAGCAAGATGGCGAGCTTGAGGATGACTGGGCCCAACGCGCCCGTCCCGGCGCCCACACCCGCCATCTCGCTCTTGCCCCTTGAGGAGAGGAAGCCGCTACACAAGCGCCATGGTTGGTGGTCTTCGATGGAGCAATGGTGGATAGAAGAGAGAAGTCAACGCCTCGGTTAGGAATATCGGAGGAGCGCGGTGTCTGCGTGTGAACGGTCAAGGAAAATGAGCTCCGTTAACCACATAGTTTCATCCTACTCCTGCGTAGCAATGCCTCCGTTGTTGCCAGGAAGCTTCGTGGAAGCCCATCGGAGGAGCCTGCCAAGTAGGACCCACCGGACCCTTCATTAGCATCCCATCGGTCTCATAGATTGTCATCTACTGATAATCAAGCATTAGCGTCCCTGCTCGCCGTTTAGTCTACTCTACCGCTAGCAAACAAGTGTTCAGCTCAACCAACAGTTTGTCTTACTCTTATATATCACGCTCACCTACTCCTAATTAATTCTATTAGCTAATCAGCCTAGAGGTTACGTTTATATATCACCTACAGGCACACTAGGTTCATGTTCATTGGATGTTTTGTCAGCCTAGAGATTAAATACTTATGCCAACATCCACGAAGGCATACCATGGGGAAGACTAATCAACTCTTCGGGTGTAAAATTAGATGTCGGAGCCGGTGAAGTGGTCAATTCATTTCATGAAAAACCCCTGACTAACACCAATACACAAAACACGCCCCTCCACCAGCTCCACGTAATCCGTCCGGAGCATACATCTGAGATCCAACGGCTGCGTTCAATTATTCTATTTTTGCACCATAAGTGTTGCTTCTATAGTGATCTAACCCATACAAACCCGGTTCGTTTAGTAAAGTATATAGGTCACATTATTTCTTCTCACTACCATGTTCGCTCCGTCTCTATCTTCATATGCCTCAAATTCCACACCCATCGGCCCATCACTGACGGCTATTTGTATGCCGACAACTTTTTGTCGGGGCGTCGGCATACCTACACTTAAGCCAACGATTAGGTTAGATATATGGGGATGTAGGGTCACCATAACACTGTTCATTATTGCGCTCAATACATTCCGAGGAACACCATTAAGGGGCATAACATTGTTGCCACTGCTTCGACCGTTGGTGATGGTCGCTCCTCCCTTCATCCCCGAGTGCATTCAACCAAAATATCTAGCACACGGAGAGAATGAAGGAGAAGCGACCCCCACGACAACAGTCGGAATTATTCTTCTCTCATATATGGTGGACACACTCCCTCACTCATTTTTTGATTGTCATGTATGGGGCATCGACAGACTTAAAGTCAACCCGATATGTCGTTTAATTATCTTTTTAGAAAATCCAGGCCACTCAATATTTCCTACATATTCTAGCACAAGTCATGCCAGAATTCATGGAAAAATCCGGCATGACTTTTGCTAAAAAAGGACATTTCGAGCGCCTGAAATTTGCCGGAACGGAAATTAATCAACACTCCGGCAAAACATAGGCCACTCGGAGGTGTAACCTGCAAACATGGTCGGCCACTTGGGCATTCAAAGTAGGAGTAGTTTTCCAATTTAAGCATTCAATAAGCAAAACCAAATCGTAGAAATAAATAAGTATTCAAATTATCATGCATTCAATAAGCAAAACTAAATCATCTCTTTCGTCCATACATCGTCGAATATTATCACTAATACATCTTCAATAGTATCATACATATAACATCACTAATATAGCTAAAACCCTAGCAAACGACGGGTATCGGCGCGGGCGGTGGACACCCAAAGAGAAGGAACCATCACCGGATCATAGCTCCAGTGAGATCCCTGAAGAACCTGCCAGGTATTGGAGAACCTGCCTTCCAACGCAACCATGCAGCGACGAACGTGCTCGTCCTCCTCGCTGACACGGTGACGTACCACCTCCACGGGGTCCTCAAGCCTCCGCACCGTCACTGGCCCACGCGATCGCCACCAAAGAAGGTTTGGGTCAACGACGGGATGGCTCCTCACCAAGTTGCGCCGCCCGGAAGGTAGCACCTCCCAGTACTAGCCCGGCGGAGCCCAGTCCCGGACATGACCCCTCTGATCAAGCAGGTGTCCTCCGCCGAGTCGACGACGAAGATGCGGGATAGGCATCGTCGACATCGATGCGGGAATAAATTCTTTAAATAAAAAAAATAACAACAAATTTGACATGTTGAACATGGTTCGATCATAACTAGGGCTCATACTACATTATTCTAAGATTAAACGCCTAAAATACCTAAATTATATTAAGTACACCTAATTAAAAACCTACATTTTGAACATGGTTCGATCATAACTAGCTAGGGTTCATACTATATTATTCTAAAATTAAACACCTAAGATTAAACACCTAAGATCATAACCTACTACATTATTCTAAGATCTAACCTAAATTTTTAAACTAGCTAGGGTTCAAAATTAACTAGGGAGCAGGAGTACCTCTCGGTGGACGAGACCGACGCGGGGGGGGGGGATGGAGGAGGGGCGGATGATGGAGGTAGGGCGACGGGATCGAAGGGGAGAGGAGGAGGGTGGCGAGAGGGAGGGGATATGAGGGCGGAAAGGTGGGCGAGTGGGCGACGGCGCGCGGCGGCCGGAGTGGGGGAGCAATGAGAGTGTGAGGGGACAGTGAGGCCGCACGCGGGTAAGATAAGATACTCGTAGTAGTAGTGTTGGCCCGTAAAAAGCGCTACTGCTATAATCATTAGTAGTAGCGTTTTTTCTGAACTAGCACTACTACTAAGGCTATGATCATTAGCATGTAAAACAGACATCAAATTAAAAAATGCATTGGTCATCATTGATCTTTTTGTGTAGAATCTAAATTGTCAGCATGAATCCTCGCCTGTATAGGTACAGGCGAGGATTCATATTGCCATAGATCCTACACATATAGTTCAATGAAGACCAATTGGTTGTGATAGTTTGGAAAGCACCATATTTAAGCTGGTAAATATTTTATTCGCAGAGCGAGGTGGGACTAAACTTTTGGTCAATTTAGCAATAGCAGTAGTGCTTTTTGTAAACGAGCGCTACTAATATGTCTGGCCTGCCGCCAACGGTATGGCAGTTATAGTAGTAGCGTCTTTTGTAACGAGAGCGCTACTGGTAAGATCATAGTAACAACGCTTGCTTCTGTCGAGCGCTACTAATATCTAGTAGCAGTGTTGTCTTTTAAAAACAGCTACTAGTAAGCTCCGATGTATAAGGTTTTCCCTAGTAGTGCACTTTAGAACGCCGAGGCACAATAGCACCAGTATCAGGTGTCTCCTCAAACAGAACACCACGTGCATTCAGAATCATCATCATTGTTGACATATTTAATACCCAAATGATAACTTTTATCCCCATATAGAAAAAGCAAGGGGTATTATAGATTCATAAGGTTAGAATTGAGAGAAGATACGTGCTCCAACATACCAACATGTGTCTCTACAACCACATCAAATTTCTTGCGATCAGGAGTAAGATCACCAACAATCACAGCAGCCACCTCAGAGGCCGTTGGGCCAGAAAAACGCGTGCCGTGGGGCCCGCCATCATTTCCTAAGAAGCGGATAGAAACCTTTGGCCCATCAGGAGAAGACAAATTTTGGCGAGCAATTCTATATTTGTGTACCAAACGATGATGCCTATTCAACATATCAATCAGGTTGGCTACTATTTCTGGATCAGGCTCAAGAGAACTATCGCCTTCACGATCAAACACATTAATTCTACTTTTGACTTCATTAGCTGAATCAACAATATATAGTTGTGCAAACTTAGGGTTTTCATCTTCAGAAGGAAGAAGAGGACCAATTCTGTGATAAACGACCCCGTTCATTTTAAATACGTATGGACCACCCCAGTGTTAACACTATGATCAATTTGAGCACCAAGAGATGTGAAACAAAACATAGAATTATAATGTCTAATCAAGCGCATGAAACGGGCACAAACAAGGCCACCATTGAAACGAAGTAAATCCTTCAACGGACAGGGCCAATCAGCAAACTTTGGCAAAGAAATCTTGCCATCTCGGCAACAACCGGTATAAATAGTTTGTCGGGGATTAACATCCTTATGACGTGTGGACCCTTCATGAAACCAATAAAATGTCCCACATTTCCGACAGGTAAAACCTGGTGCGCCATAATAAGACCTTCCCCGTGAAACAGCTGGCAAAAGTTATAAATTAGTACATTCAATAAATCGGCACAACCAAGGAACCCATATATAAAAAAGAGAATAAGAAAACACAAAATATTACCTTTAAGTAAACAAATATACTCCTTAGGAAAAGGCGGCTGCATCGGTCGAACTGTAATAAAAAACATAAGCATGCTAAAACCATAAAGTAATTAAACATCGTTTACAGGTCGGTAATAGAGAACGATGTAGCAGTAAATGGATACCTTTTTTTCTTCCTAATCAAAAATCACGAATTAATTTGTGTTTGCGCCGATTGTACAAAATATCCAAGCGGTCCAAAATAGGTGTGCCTAGGACTAAATATAACAAAAGTATCACTAATGAATCACATGAACAGATAGCAGAAATATTTAAAAACACAAACACCAGTATATAATGAAACAAACCAGAGGGGTTGACCTGTCATGAGGACCCATGCTCAACAACAGGACAACACGTGGAGGAACAACTATCAACTCATCGCCAAACTGATGGTCATGAATAGTTGAATTTTCAGATGGCACATCAACAGAAGTGTCAACAGACTCACAACCAACTGTCTCAACCACCTGGACACCAATCTCAACACCATCACTGTCATTCAATTAGCGTGCAAAAAAGGAAAACGAGAACTCTGAAAATAGAAAAATAAAATAAAATATGTACACCAAATAAACAGATCAACATACCAAAATGAGAATCAGAAATTGGAAGTGATGGTACACCATTGGAGGAAGTAAACAAATATACACCTGCAATATAGACAAAAAAAATAGAAACATCTGACTATACATGATCAATGAGAACCCATAAAAGAACACTGTAAACCTAAGTGTAAACCAACCCTGAGTACAGTCAA